CCCCTGCTCAGTGCCAGGGCAGGAGGGACCGGGCACCCCCTGTGTGAAAAATGCATGTATTTTATTATTGGTTTTTCGCAAATATTCAAATGAATATTATATGTGTTGTGTTAGAAAGTGATGCTGTATTAATTCTCTTAAGCAGTGTGTTAAATATAGTTTTAGGTTATAAAAATTGTTAAAATAGAAACTGCTATGTAGGATATTATATATATTTTTTTTTTAAGAAAGGACTTGCAGCTAAATAGCAGCCACAGGACACCTGAATCTTTCAGAGAAAGAGAATTTATTGCTCCATTATCAGAAGAAATGAACTTCTTCCTGCCTCGAAGGTGCTGTTAGGATTCAGAGGAAGAAGTTGATGATGACCAGACAGAATCCTGTGTTTGAATGGAATTTATGCATCATGTATGAGGTGTATGAATATGCAACAGGTTATTGCTTTTAAGGGTTAATCCTAATCGTGCTGCCCAGAAAAGGTACCTGGACTGTCTGTAACTCTGTTTTTATAGTCTCATATTGTCCTAATTCAAATTGTCCAAATTATTATTACTGTAATGGCATTACTATCTTTATAACCATTTTATTACTATTAAACTTTTAAAATTTTACAAACGAGGGATTGGCGTTTTTCACCCCCTGCTCAATGCCAGGGACAGGGCAGGAGGGCTCAGCCCTGCCCGGGTATTTCCTCCTGAATTCATTCACTCTGCAGCACCGCTCGGGCAGCTCCAGGAATGCCTCATCCCCCACGGACCATCCTCCTCATCCCCCTCCTCCTCATCCTCCTCCTCCTCTCCTCCTCCTCAGCCCCCCGGCTCCCCCCGGCTCCGATTTCCCGGGATTTTCTGCTTTAAGCAGCTCCACCTGCCAACAAGAAAGAGCAGAAAGCGGAAAATCGGGGTGATCCCCGTGAGCCCCGAGTTGGCCACGCCGAGCCCTTGGAGGGAGCAGCCCTGGGATGTGTTTTGGGGGTGGCTTCAGCTCCCCCAGTGCTGCTCTGGGGCCGTGATTAATGGGGTCTGGCTGTTGTTGGTGCCCCGAGCTGTGTGTTCGGGGTAGAACCCGTGTGTGGGTGTGTGTGCATCCTCATCCTGCTCCGTTCCCACAAACCAGGTGGAGGTGGGAGCAGGAACGCTCCTGCCCTGGGCAGCTCCACAAAGAGGGGCTCTGCAGCATTGAGGAGGGGGGATCCCATTTCCCAGTTCTGCTTCTCTGCACCCAAAGCCATTCCCAGGATGGGGCTGGGGGCTCTCCTCCCCTGGGAACAGCCCCAGAGACACTGAGGCACATTGTGAGGTTGGGGGTCCTGTGGCAGGGACATGGGGGCCACCAGACCCCCCAGGCTCTCAGAGGACACCCC